AAGACTATTTGAGAGGATTCTTTCAATCTGAAATTTGACAATCACTTAAGAATTATTAGATAACTATTCTCAAAAAAAAAAAATTTGAAATTTGAGATTTCTAACACTTGGATCTCAACATCTAAAAATTGAAAGGTCTCTATTCAATTTTGAGATATTGTTTTTTTCAAGTGCATAGAGGGTAAAGTTAGGAAATATTTAAGATCCTAAAATTAATTCCAATTGCGGGTTTATCCGACGGAGTATATGGATATGCTACTCCCACAATAGTTTATTATCTTTGGCAATAAAAATAATAATAATAATAATAATCCACTATTCTGCAATTAAAATTTTAAAGAATTCATACTTGGAACATCAATCATATCTTCCTTTCACTTTTCTCGTTTTAAAAAGCATACTCAAAAAAAAAAAAACATTCCGTTAATTATTTTAGAGGACTCGAAAAAGCTATTTGGATAAGTTTTCTCGAGATTTCGTTGGGTTATTTTTCACTTTCATAGCGTTTGCCGAAATTTAGACTAAAAGTTGGGCTATTTTTCACTTGAGCCCAGGCTCTAAATAATCAAAGTAAAGCCAACCTTCAAATAGTATCGAGAAATGTGGTTTTAATACTGAAAATCTTTATAATAGCCTTAAATTATATTTTCATATTTAACTATAAAAATTTAAAGCTTCAAAAAATAATGTAGATCGAGCATATATAAGAAAACTTGAAAATCTTGAAAATTATCGGTTCAAAAATGCGTTACAAGATGTACTATTTCTAAAACTTGAAATCTATTTTTTTCTCATGTTCATGCATCCTTATGTTGAGATGGTCAATTAGATAATATTTGGACATCAAAACAACCACTTCTGCTGAAATTTTTGATGTGGGCTCTAATTTGATTGTTTTGAGCATCAAGGCTATGTAAACTTTTTCCTTTTTACCAACCCACGTTTCTATGTTATTGAGCACGCGGATCAATCACATAGTCATCTTTTACCTACTTTCCATTTCCCTTCCCTCCCAGCCTTTTTTTTCTTCTTTGTTAATTTATTTATTTATTTTTTGATAATTAATAGGGATAATGAGCCCCTACCCGTTTTTCAAATTGTCAGTGATTTTTTTAATGTATTAAGTGATAATAGAAGTCTAGACTTTAATTGATGTACAAATAGTACTACCATCATGACCTCAACCCCATCTTTCTTCACTAAGTAAGAGCATATGGGAGAGGGGCAATGGATTCAAACTTTTAAGATTTTCTACTCTGCAAGAGTATACCATCCATTTACTCCCTTGGGTATAGCAAATGCTAAGAATATGTTTAGATATCAAATTTTTGGGATGCAATATATGCAACCCATAAACTTATCTCAATACAAAAGTTATCCAAAATAAGCTCTCTATATACCACAAAAAAAAAAGGGAAATTATTCCCGTACACCTATTTCAAGGTTCCATTTCCTAACAGACCAAGAGTTTGAAATTATTTTTTGTCGTATAGAAATCCCACATAGTATATCTTCTAACCCCATAAATCCCATAAATCAACTTTGTTCCTTTTGGCCGTCATTTTTATCCCAAATAAAATAAAAAGTATGCTTGTATCGTTTCCTGTCTAAACGACACTCTCTATAATGAGATTCTCTCTCTCCCCCTCTATTTCTCCCCCAAAGCTCTCTCTCTTTCTCTAGCCCATCTCTCTTGCAACCCTTTCCTAGAGAGGGAAAAACTCGTTATAGGGAGGGTTTATAAAGGAATAGACATGAGCATCCTTATTACTTTTGTTTGGGTTAAAAAATAGTGGTCAAAAGGGTAAACTTTGGTCTAGGGGGTTAGACTGATTATCTGAGAATCTCTATGCCTCAATAAATTTTCAAACCCTTACTCTATTGAGAAATGAAACCTTAAAATAGGATGTATAGAGATATTTTTTCAAAAAACAAAACAAAAAACCTAAGATTGAATAAAGACTATCCAATTTTTTCAGAGAACTAAGTGTCGCAAAACTTACAATGCAAAATTTTTCTTGGGAAATTATAAAAAGTATCCCTTTTTTTAGGTTCTTGGAAAAAAACCCCAAATCTTTTAAAACAGCATTCATTTCCGTATCGTTTTTTTTTTTTTGAAATGTTAGGAGTATTTCATTAAGGTAATAAAAGTACTACAAAACAAACAAAACATGAAAAAAAAGGAAAGGAAGAAGAATAAAGAAAAAAAAGAGAGAGAAAATATTAGGGTTAAGGATGAAGCATAATATGGTTGGCAAGGCATGGGCATCCGCATTGAAAACCACGACGGACATAGTAGAAATAGACCTCGGGCGACAATAATGGCGTCCATGATTGAGCTGAGTTTCCAATATGTGCAATCTGGATTGCAACACCATTTGATGACGTTAGTTGAGTCCCCCTCAATGAGAACCTTGTTATGTACTGGATCAAGCCTTAGCACACTAAGGCTCATAGTTCAGTTTCGTTGATCGCAAAAGCATGCAAGGATTTGAAATAAGATCAAAGAACCTCAATACTGTTATTCCTAAGTATTCGGGTGTACACTACCATCAAAATTAAGCTTAACTCAACCCTCCAGCGGGCTGACCAAGAGTAAATACAATAAGGCCGAAGCTTTTTAAATACAATGAGGCCGAAGCTTTTTAATGAACATAAGCTCTCTAAAATGGGTAAAGAACAATTCTTTAGGAACCGACTTGAGGGGAAGAAAAGTATATCCCTTGTCATCACTGTTTGTGATTTTGTAACTAAAATGCCAACCTTCACGGTAATGTTAGGCCATGAAGGTTGTAAGAGATCTGTGATGGCTTTACCACCATTGATGTGTATTGAAACCATCATGGTAATGTTGTACCGTGATGCTTTATGTTGTTCACAGTCCACTTAGCACCGTCAGGATCATAAAAACCAATACCCTTGTACTTTTCAGGCATATTTCTAAATTCCTTTATCATGCCTCGCTGTCACTCTTACTCTAAATAATAATTGAGTTATCGTGTTTGTACAAGTACGACGAAACAACCATCATGGTCGAAAAATTATAGTGAAGGGGTAATTTAAGCGTAAAAATTACTGTGATGATATATAAGCTTAAAAAAAAATAAAACTAGGGAAAATATCATTCGGACCTCTAATTATCCATTTTATTTCTAATTATCCATCTTATTTCACTGTAGACCCTCCTCTTATTTTTCTTTAAAGCCGCGTAAAAAAAATCTTCGAGTACTTTACCTTATCAAAAACATCATTTCTTCTCTCTCACATTTATTCACTTTTGACAACAAAAACTAGTTTCAACAAATTGTTTTATTTCATCTCAATCCTAAAACCTTTTTAACCCTATTTTACACTTTTTAAGAAAGCTTTTGAATTGAAATAAAAAAAAACACTTTGTTAAAGCTAATTTTTTTTTAACTAAAAGTGAATAAACGTGGAAAAGAAGAGATGAAAGGATACGGTAAAATACTTGAAAGTTTTTTATACCGCTTGAAAGAAAAATAGAATGAACGTCTACCGTAAAATATGATGAGATATTAAGAGGCTGCACAAAATTTTCCCAAAAAACTATTGTGGTTCTAGTAGGAGCATGATGCTCTTAAACTACTTTAAAATAACCTTAACTATACTCTTACTACCGTGAGGGGGTAATTTAAGCGTAAAAATGCAAATGGTATATGGTCAGTGACCATATGGAGTAGAAATGAGGTCTTAAAAGATTTGAAAAAAAAACAAATTCCAATAATTTACAAAAGGTAAATATTTTTGATAATTTTCCTTTTTTATTTTGAAATTAATCATCTAATAATTCTTATGTGATATTCAAAATTTTAGACTAAAATAATAATCCTAAATAGGTATTTTTCATGAGGAAATAAACACATACTATGCTCCCGAGGGAGCGTATTATAAGTGCTCTGTAAAGATTAGCCAACCACGCCCAAAATTAACCCTATCAAAAGAAATAGAGATCACTTCATAACTCATCAAAATTGCAATTCAAGCTTTGAAAAACCTCATAAATCGATCATCTCATCTTGAACATTATGGTTGTGAAAAAAAAAAAAAGATTTCAAAATCTACAAAAATAAATCATCTAAACCAATGTTGTCATATTTGCTTCACTTTTTCGATTTGGTGAAAAAAATGAAACAAATTTTTGCTTTGGCCAATTTAATAGAAGATTTCAGGCTTTTTTTAAATTTAATATAAATAAATTAAATATTTATATAATATATATATATATATATATATATATATATATATAAATAATGAAAAAAATAAAACAAAATAAAACATAAAATAAAATACTTTTATAGAACTATTTCTATGCTGGCCACAGCAAACCAGAAGAAGACCCGAGTCATATCCCAAATCTGGCCAAAAAACCCGAAGCGGCCCGAATCTAACCAGAACAACAGCACCCGGCTTCACTTCTATTCGGTTTATGCCCAAAATCCGAAGGCTTCGACTTCTTCAACCAAAGCGAAGCAAATTTTATAGCATTGGTCTAAACTATCCATTTGCCCTAAAAATAAGTGTTCACCATTATTTTAGTTTCAAATTTCATTGTGATGTTGAAAATTGATTTCAGAGCTATCATGAAATTATGTTGCCGAAAGTACTTCACGAAGACTCTGGGTTAGGCTTTATTTTGTTTTCATAAAACCTATGCCTTGTAGAAACTTCATCAAATAAAAAAAAAACAAGTCTAGAAAAACTACAAAGTCTACTTACGCACTGACGAAACTAACTTCTTCCTTATTTTTCTTTCTTTCTCCTTCTCATCTTTCTCTTTCTTCTCTGGTTGCCTTTGTAATTTTTCATTCCCTCTTTCTTCTCTGGTTGCCTTTGTAATTTTTCATTTTCCCAATGAAATTACTGTTTAAAAAAAAAAAGAAAAAAAAAAAAGAGCAAAGTCTACTTCAATCGAGTTTACATCTTTCTTAAAGATAAAGAACTTTACTCCACCCACAAAAAATAAAAGAAAAAAAAGGAAGAAATTTGGAACTACTAACAAAATCCCTCCTATCGAATCTTACACGAATGAAAAACAACAAAAGGAAATCCCTTCTTACAACATATTACAAATAAATCAAACTTGCTGAAAGCCTTCCACCCATTCTTAGAATGGGAGATGGCGGCAAAATAAAGCGCAGGTCTTTCCTCCTTTACGCCATGGACAATCCACCCAAAAACCATATTCTTTTTTTTCTCAACGCTCTCTCTCTCTCTCTCTCTAAACAACATCATCTCTCTCTCTCTAAAAAAACATCATCTCTCTCTCTCCATCCATGTTTTCAGTCACAATATTAAGATGGGTGGCTTGGATTTCTCTCTTTCCAGCAATCACATTTAGCTTTCTCTCTCTAGAATCTCTCCCCCTTCCTCTTTCTCTCTCTAGGATGGGTCTCTCCCTCCCTGGTTCTATCTCTCCACCAATTACACGGATCTCTCTCTCTAAAATCTCTCTTTCTCTCTCTAGGATTGGTCTCCCTTCTCTCGCCACCACTATCCCAGCACCATTTTCTCTCTCTCTCTCTCTACACAGAGCATGAGGATTCTGACCCTGGACTCCCCCTCACCACCTCCTCCTCCGCCACCAGCGCCTTAAGCGACCGCGGCTGAGGCGGCACCCTCACCTCCACTGTCCCCTGCACCATCTTCACCACGTCCCCCATCGCCGGCCTCTCTTTCTCCTCATCTTGTATACACCACACCGCCACCCTACACAACCGCTCTGCCTCCGCCCTATCAAACACCGACCCCAGCCTTCCATCCACCACCGCTCCCTCCTCCCCCTCAGCCACCCTCTCCGACGCCCATGCCGGAAAACACCACTCCTTTGCTGGCAAACTCACTGGAAAATCACTCTGCAAATTCCGACGACCTGAAACTATCTCCAAAAGCGTCATGCCGTAGCTGTAAACGTCGGCTTTTGAAGTAATGGGAAGACCAGCTATCCACTCCGGTGCTAAATAGCCTCTGGTTCCTCTTGTTGTGGTGGCCACTCTGCTGAATTCTCGACCTAAAAGCTTCGCCATGCCAAAATCTGAGACCTTTGCGGTGAAATCATGGTCCAAAAGGATGTTCTCTGGTTTGATATCACAGTGAATTACGGTGTCTCTGCACTCTTCATGGAGATAGGCAATTCCTCTCGCTGAACCTAAAGCTATTTTGAATCTGGTTTCCCAGTCTAGGGTTTTGGTTGACTCTTGATTGAAATAAGAGCTTAATGGACCATTCACCATGAAATCATAGACCAGAAGGCGATTCAAGTTTTCAGAGCAAAAACCTCGAAGTCGAACTAGATTAACGTGTTGCAGGGTTCCGATGGTGAGGATTTCATTGATGAATTCTTTCTCGCCTGAAACTCCTGGTTTCTCTAAGCGTTTTACTGCGACTTGGGAAGAATCGGGCAAAACACCCCTGAAAACCACACCAAAACCGCCATGGCCAAGCTTCTCTGAGAACCCTCGAGTTGCAGTATCGAGTTCTTTGTAAGAGAAAACCCTAAGACCTGAGGCTGAGATATCAGCCATTCTTCTCCTTTTTGAGCGCCTCCTCTTCCAAATAATGGCTTGTAAAATCAAAGCTCCGGCCATAACTAAAGATAGAGCACAGAGACCTGCTATCAAAGTACGACTGGTTTTTCGGCAGTTTTCACCGGAAGTTATATAGAAATCCTGCGAAACCTTGACGGAAAGTACCTTTCCCGGCGACCCCGAGGTCAGGTTCTTCACATTGAAAAACCCTCCGTATAAATTTTCACAAAAAGCAATGTCTTCACTGTACGTGAAACCCAAGCAAGAACAATTTCTCAAACAACTTTCCCGGCAAGTTTTCGGGTCGCCAGAGAATGACACAGTGGCCTTTGAGCTGAAAGCCATTAACCCCATGTCAACAAACTTATCGTTTTCACTACATTCAAAAGAGTGGTCGCGTATGCAACCGTCACTGTAATCACCGGAATCCCAGCCGGAAATTTTTTCCGGCGAGAATCCCGCCATACAGCTGCAGGTTTTCCGGCCACTTGGGTCGATGCAAAACCCATTTTTCCCACAAATTCCATAAACATCACAGTGGTTCTCTGGTCTAGACCAAAACATATACCAGTTATTGATTTGAGAAGACCATGTTTGCTGCTTCATCACGCCTGAAAAATCAATGTAAAATCGGCTAAATGGCCGGAGATTTGGATCTGGCTCTGTATACACAAAGTAAGCATTAGGTGTGTATGCATTCATAAACCTGAAATCGTAGATATACTTCACTGTCATTTCTGGTATGCCGGAAAATGAATTACGATTCCATTTTCCGGAGGTCCAGTAAACCTCTCTATCTTCATACAAGAGAACAAACTGGCCGTATTCTAGCGGCTTTAGCCGGAAAATATATTTTCCAGCAGCCGGATTGGTGGGGCTTTCCCAGCTTACTAAGCTATGATTCACCGTAAAATTCATTTCAGGAAGCCATGAATCAGTAGGGTAATCGAAGCTTTGCCAAACCAGTTCCCTCTTTCTATTAAACAGAACCAGGTTTCCTGTATCAAAGAGCCCCGTCCTCGAAGCTTTGTCATGATTTGTTGTGGCCCAAATCGAGTTATTACCCGAATCAAAGATTGTAAGCTTCCCGGCCATCAGTTTTACAGTTGCAGAGCTTGGGTCTTTAATGGGGTTTTCTCTGTTCGCTACCCAAACGTAGGTTTTGATAGGGATCGCGCCGTACCAGATACCCAAGTACCAGAGCGAACCACCATTGGGGCTGAAGAAGCCGAGCTCGAAGGTCCCGTTCCTGCTCTTTAATGTCGAATTTCCGGCGATTATGGCGCCGGAAAGCGCAGAAACAGTTGAAAAATAGAAGAAAAGGTGGAAAAATCCGGCTAAAATTTCAGAGATGGAGGTTTTAGACGCCATAGGTGACTGGAAAAAAGAAGCTATTTTTCTTGGATTAGACCGCCCTTAATGTGCAGCACTGGTGATTCGAAAACGACGAAAGGCGAGCAATTTTTATGGGAAAGAAAAGACGGCCGCTTTTTGAAAAGCGGGAGTAAATTTTGGTGTAATGCTTTATCCCGGTAAAACTGACGAGAGTACCCTTACGAACGGCAGTCATGGTCGGTGGTATATGCGATTCGGAGGTACGTGGCCCGGTCCCCGTCCTTTCAAAACTAGGGTCTGGGTGGGTTATGAAATGTGAGGATTCGGTAAGGACTTAAAAAAATTACGGTCTACCAACAACAGACAATGGTAAAAGGCTGGCAATGATCTAACCAGGACTAATCGAACCCGATCTGTACCTGTAGTTATAGGTTATTTGATGGCAATCTTGTGTTTTAAAAGTCATACTACAGCCAATTTGAGTACATGGAAATCTAATACGTAACAATAAAAAGATATTATTCGAGATTTTTTCAAAAATCACGAAATCTATTAAGCATTCACAAAATCCATTTTGCCGTAAGAGGGGTGAAAGAAGTAAAAAATCTATTAACAGATTGACGAAGAATATTTGGAAATCTTTCGCGTGTCTCTCAGATCTATCCCCACTTGGAAAAATATTTCTCTCTTAAATATACACTCTCTCACGCATACATTATAATAGAAAGTGAAAATAGGGGATATAAAAAAGAGAATTTAAATTGATTTCAACAGCGGTAAGAGGACAATTTTTTACTACAATCATAATAAAAAAATTTCTATATCATTTTATCATCAATTTGGGTTGTAGTTCTCATCTGACTCACCTATAAAAACAAAAAATTTTAATAATTGGTAGGTGAAAGTAAGGAGAAATATAAATCGATTTGAAGAGTGGTAGAATTGGGTTGTAATTCTCATCTGACTCTCATATAAAAACAAATTTTTTTAATAATTGGTAGATGAGAATAAGGAGAAATCTAAATTGATTTGAACAGTGGTAGAATTTGACGAGGGATAATTTTCTAGTGCAATCATAATAAAAAAATATCCTACATCCCTATATTCCCAATTTGAGTTGTAGCCCGTCATCAGCTATCACATAAAAACAAAAATAACAAAAATAATAATGATTAATCAATGAGAAATTACACAATACAATCGTAATAAAAAATTTCACTGAGAGATTAATAAAAACCTCAATTAAAATAAGATACCTCTTTAGTCTCCTCCAATGCTTCAAAATTTTCTACTGTAATTATCAAACCTTCTAGTTTACTAATAAAACTTCTTCCCATTTTTTAACTTTGTATCATAAAGATTTTGATTTTGGTATCATAAATTTATTGCTTATTTGAAATTATATATAGAGAGACATTTATATAAAAATTAAATATAAATAAGAGTTATCACAATAAAATCATGTTATTCCAATCATATTATTTCAATGACCAATCATATTGAAACCAAAGTCTAATCATGTTAGCCAAACATAACCACATTTTTCATATGTGAATGGTAATGCATTTCTCATATTTGTTCTAGACATAGCCAAACAGTAGCAATGTATTTTCCAAGTTGCATCTAAATACTACAGTGACAATCTATTTTCAGGTAATGTATTACGCAGTAATGTATTAGGCCCGTAATATATTTCACAGACAATATATTTCGAAATATCCAAACGACGTGTTCATATTGTCACAATATTGGTAACTATTAGGGTATTATTAGCCTAAAAAAAAAAAGCTCACAATCATAGGATATATCATTAAAAAAAAATATAGGACAAAAAAAAAAGAAAAACTCGTAGCCATGGGGTGGCAATAGATCGGATAGCCCCAATGACTAGACTCGAAACTTGACAGATCTAGGTATGGGTCCAAATTTTGGATGGACCCATTGCTACCCCTAGTTGGGCTGGTGTGATTGAGCCTCTACTATTCTTTTTTCTTTTGTTTTTTCATTTATTTTATTTTGAATTTTTTCAAACCCTGCCCGGTCTTGATCGGTCTAGGATCAGCCTTGGGCAAAGGCCTTCTTAGTCCGATCAGGGCACGCCAAGCCTATGGTCGGTCGACCTACTGACTTTCATACGAAACTTGTTTTCCGTGCTTGGTAAGGAAAGAGCTGAATCGCTTTCATTGCATGTAACCGGTGGTTTAAAAATCACCGAGTCGGCACGGAATCGGCCGATTCGAACCGGGAGTTAGTCATCCCGTGTCAATTTTCGAATCGACCGATTCCGTGCCGACTCTTTTGTAAAATTGGGAATCGCCTGATTCTAGAGAAGAACCGGCGATTCTATATAGTAAATCGCTGAATGACGTCATGACTCGCCCAGTTCTGTGCATGCGCATGACGTCATGAGTCACAAGGGGCATTTTTGTAAATTTTTGAGTTACAATGAAAATTTATAATGAGCACCCATTGTCAAAAACACGTACTCCATCACAAACCCACACTGCTACGTGCGTTTCGCACACGACTAACTTTGGTAGCAGAAGACTATTTGTCCTTACCAAATTTGTTATGTGGATTCGATGTATGACAATTGCGCCAAGGTAATAGCTCAGAAAGAAGTATGATATACTTATTCAGTGACTTCTTTATATCACAACTTAACATTTGACATGATGGTTAGAGTGTTGTTTTAGTACGTTGGACGTCGTATAATCAATTCTTGCCCAGGTGGCCATCATTCCTTCACAAGCAAATTAATTTTTCCAAAATAATTTTTTTTACAAAAAAAATAGAGTTTTTTTTTAAACAAAAATATTTTTTGTTAAAAAAAAATATAAGGTTCTTGTCAAAAAACAAAAAGGTAATACAAAAAAAAAAAATTTCTTGCAAAAAAATAAACGCTTATTGTAAAAAAAATATAAGGTTCTTGTAAAAAAAAAAAAAAGTAATACAACAAAATTTCTTTTTCTTGTCAAAAAATAAAAGTTTATTGTAAAAAAATATAAGGTTCTTGTAAAAAAAAAAGAAAAAGGTTATACAACAAGTATTCCTTGTAAAAAAAAAAAAGGTCCTTGTTAAAATAAAAAAAAAAAATATATGATGAGCATTTCTTGTAAATAAATAAATAAAAAGTTACTGTTATAAGAAATAAAAGGTTTTTGTCAAAAAAAAAGATCAAAGGTAATACAACAAATAATTATTGTAAAAAAATAAGAGGTTGGATTTGTTATTATTTGTGTATTAAAATAATTATAAAATGTAAACCAACAAGTTCAATTTTAGTATATAATGTACTCCACCGATTCGAGATTGTGGTGGCCATTTTTTATCAATTAAAATCATTCTTTATTATAGTCCATCTATGATTATATATTTCATCCGTGATAATTCTATGATTTTTCTTTTGTGTGATGTAAATTTAATAGTCAAAATAAGTTAATACAGAGAAAAAATATTTCAATGTTCACATATTGATGAAAAAATACAAATTAATAACGTAGTACCCCGATTTCTTATCAGCAAGTGATAATTTGCCCTTTGTAGTAATCATTATTGTTTATTAATGGCTGTTTCGATTTTGAAATATATTTTTATGGAGTCTTTTTAATTCAAGTATACTATTTGTGTTGTAGAGCTTTCTCTCTTGTTTTGTTATCGGATCAGATCTATGCGTTTTGACCATTTAACAAGCCATCATAATTATGTGTCCGGTAAAACTTTGATTTTGAGAAGGATGCATGTTTTGTAAAACTTTGATTTTGAGAAGTACGCATGTTTTGTTTGTTTTATTTCTTGTTGAATTTGCAGTTTTGCAAGTAACTTGTAAGATGAGAAGACATCAGTTTTTGGGGTTTCAATATCGAAGGCCATTAGAGTATTTTATGTACCCAGATATACCGTAAATTTATTATGGTATTTTGAGTAACGTGAGTATATTGTGACATCTTAAAACGTCAAATATATCACGGTACCGTGATGTCATGATGCCTTTATATATATGACTCTCGTAAAAGTTATTTTAGTCAAAAAAAATACAAAAAAAGTAATAAATAAATAAAATAAAATGCTATGGGTGGGTATAAAAAAGTATAACGTTTTTTTTTCTGATAAGTCAAATATTCAAGTATATTTCTGATAATTTCCTATTTTATTATCAAAATTTAAATTTATACATTTGAAACTTTACCCTTAAATTTGACAATTTTTTAGTGAGTCTTCTATTTTAATTTTACTTTTTTATGCATCAAATTTGGCTCTAGAATTTATAAAAAATATCAAAGATGTGTTTTAAAATAAATAAATTGGTAAAAATACCCCTAAATTTTTAAATTTTGTAGGATATTTTGTTTATTTTTATTCCACGTAATTAAATTTATGCATCAAATTTAGCTCAAAAATTTATAAAAAAATATTAAAGACGTCTTTTAAAATATATAAAATGATAAAAATACCCCTAAAATTTTAAATTTTGTAGGATATTTTGATATTTTTATTCACATAATTAAATTTTTACTGTTTTTTCCAAGGGCATTATAGTAAGAAGTATGGGTTTCCAAAACTAAAGATTAATGCGATACCCAAAAAAAAAACAAGTTAAAATACAATATCCAATATAAAATATATAGGACTGTTTTAAATTTCAAAAATAAAAGGGACTTTTCTGCTAAGTCCTAGGGAACACAAAACTAATGAAAACTTTCAACAAAAAAAAAAAAAAAAAGAAAGAAAGAAAGAAAGTGAAACACGAAAAAATGGTGAGAAGAAGGAAAAAAAATAACTTCCTAAAATTAGTTTTATTTCATACAAATATATATTTAATTTGAATTCAAAAATTGAGATAAACAAAAACAAAACAAAAAAAAACAAATTCCCATGATTTCATCTATAGGGCTGAGGACCTTAAAACTTTTCCTTAACTCGTCCTTAACGAGGGTAAAAGACGTGGGTCTTAGAGGGAAACTGGTATTAGAGGGCATTAGAGGGAAACTTCTCTCTAAGATGGACTCTGTTGAGGCTTTGAAGAATCGTTTTGTGCGTATTAGAGCGAAACTATTATCCCTTGACCCTTAGAGGCCGGATTCTCATCAATCATACCTACAAAAATGTAGCATGTGGATCAGACTATTGGGTGTTCTTGCCTATGCTTGGTCATTCCAAATTTTTCATAAACTCGCTAACAAATGTGGTGAGTTCTGTGATGTTGACAAGTCTTCTTTCACTGTGGCTGATCTTAGATCTGTAAGAGTTCGCATCTAGAAATTGGAAGGTGCATACATCCCAAAAATATTGACCTTGCGAGTGGGTCAAGAATTTTTCTCCATTTATGTGATGCAAGAAACTATTGAGAGAGGCCCTTTTCATTCAGGACTGCAGAAGGTTGACAATGACCCTAATGGAAAATCTGGGTGGAAGGAGGTCGTACACTGTCGTAAGCCTAGGCCAAAAAATTGGAATTCCGGCCAGCAGTGGGTAGGTCCTCGCAATTTCGGTAAGTAGCAAAGGAAACTTCAAAATTTTATAATTCGTAAGCGTTGGGTGCATGTGGGGCGTTTTACGAATAATACGGCGGGCTTGGAGAAATCTGTTATTGACCGTGGTGCAGGACCAAAAAAGTGACCGAGGGTCTATCAAAGATACGTTCGTAAGTTTCTAGGAAAGTTTCCAAAAAGGATGAAGGTGTAGGTATGGGAGTTTTATCGAGCTGCCTAAACAAGCAGTTTTCCTTGGGATGGACGCAATCTACGGCGGTTAGACACCTGGAGCTCCTTGATATTGCTAAGAAGGGGGGC